CTCCCCCACCCTTTCCCATCCATAACCCATCCACATAGGCCTTCTGTGCGGTTCTAGGGTGCACAGTCGTACATCACATACAAACCCTAGTTTTAGGTCTCATGTGAGGAGAGTGGTGGTCTGATCGAGGAGGATGGAGGCAGTAGAGGGGTTGATGAAGGGGTTGAAGTTGTTAGCGGTGGAGAAGAAGCGCTTGAAGATCGGGGAGAAGGAAAGGGACAAGGCTCCAGAGTAGGCACTGGATGTTTCGTAGGCAGTGGGTAAGCTTGGAGAAGCCAGCACATCCAGGGGGCGCACGCTGGGAAGTTTTTATCTTCACCTTCATGCAGGCGCCGTGGGGAGCACGCTGGGAAATTTTTGTGCCCGGCCAAGGGGCTAGGCTGCAAGGAATTGGACGAGAACATTTTTCTCTTCACCTTCATGCATGCGACGGGTCGGAGGAGAGCCCTGGAGGACGGACCCTGGTGGTTCGATAAGAAGCTGTTGCTAATATGGAGAAGTATGATCCTGATAAAACAGTTGATGAGTATGAGTTCAACTTGATCCCCATATGGATTCATGTGTTCGGGATACCACTGAGATCTATGAACAGGGCTATGGGAGAGCTCATAGGAAGAGATTTTCAGGGGGTTCTGGATGTGGAAGTTGGTCGTGATGGCAAAGCCGTGGGTAAATTCCTTCGTGGTTTGGAAGTCTCTGACATATGCCCCTTGTGTGGTACGGAACACGAGGGCTGCTTCCACGCATTCTGCAGGTGCCCCCGTGCAGTTGAGTTGTGGCGTGCTATGCAAACAGATTGGGCGCTGCCTGATGTGATGAGTGTTCCGAACACCGGCCCGGAATGGCTGTTGGGTGTGTTGGAACCATTGCCAGACACATCCCGAATGGTGTTGCTGATGACTCTCTGGCGTGTTTGGCACGTACGTAATGAGATAACTCATGAGAAAGTCCCTCAGCCAACCGAAGCTTCCTGTCGTTTTCTTCAGGGGTACGTCAACTCGCTGCTGTGCATTCAGTTCCACCCAACTAGTGATATTGCCAAGGGCAAGATGCCTATGCACGTTGCTGGAGCTCCACATGTGAAGAAACATGCACCTCGGTCAGCCACTAGGAAGGATGAACTCACTTGGTCACCACCGCCGGAGGGCTGGACAAAGCTTAACACGGATGGAGCTTATCAGGAAGCGGACGGATCAGCTGGAGCTGGGATGGTGTTGAGAGATGATGTGGGGGCCAT